ATCTGTTTCCCAAAGGTCACAATTTTGAAAACCTAGTTCAGCTCTGAATACATGGGGTCACCAAGAGCAGGAATCAACTCAATGGCAACTAACAACATAATTGTTGTTGTTAAGTGCTGTCGATTCGATTCCGACCCATAGCGACACTGCATAGGATTCCCAAGGAGCAGCTGGTGAGTTTGAACCGCCGACCTTGCAGTTAAAACTGCTTTGCAGTCTGGCGCAGTAACCCACAGCGCCACACCAGGACTCTTCTTAATAACTTAATAGTAATTCCCTTATTCATTTTCTGATAGAGGTCATAGGGTGGCCATTCAGAAATGGTATTTATTTTGACCGTATTGGCTATTATTTTGTGAATAAATTATAGGATAAGGCCTGGTCTAGCTTCACCATTAATAAGTTGGGTGACTACAGGCAAGTTCCTTAACCTCCTAGGTGTCATTTATGAAAGATGAGACAGGTTCTCTTAGGTCCGCCTCATCTCTTTGACTCCACATTGTAATGAAAAGTGAGCTGGGTGACAACTCAGTCTAGAGGACACAGCCCTGATAGAGTGGTCACACCCTGAGGGTTGTTTAATGTGCCAAGTCTGATGTGTTAAAATGACCAAGGAGAGAACTTGGACTTTGTTTTTGCCTCTTATATGTTGTTGCTAGCTACCATTGAGTTAGCCCCCACATCATGGGACCCCCCTGCACAGTGGAATGAAATGCTACACTGCCCTGTGCCATCCCCATGATTGGTTGCAGACCAAACCATTGTGATCTGTGGAGTTTTCATTAGCTGATTTTTGGAAATAGATTGCCAGTCCTTTCTTTCTAGTCTATCCTAGTCTGGAAGCCCTGCTGAAATCTTTTCTGCACCATAAATAACAACATGCAAGCCCCACTGAGAGAGAGATGGTAGTTGTGCATGAGGTGCTTTGGCTAGGAGTGAAATAAACCTGACTGTCCCACATGGAAGGCAAGAATTCTACTCCCACCCCACCCCCACCTCCACCCCTGCCTGCCCACCCTATGTTCTAGGGTGGCATTCCAGGATAATACACTAGGCTGCAAGGTTAGTTTGAACTAACAAATCAGCAGTTCAAACCCACCGATCGTTCCTTGGAAACCATTTGTTGTCGTTAAGTGTTGTCGAGTCAGTTCCGATCCATAGCGACCCTGTATAGGGTTTCCAAGGAGCAGCTGGTGAGCTTGAACCGCTGACCTTGCAGTTCAAACAGCTTTGCTGTCTGGCGCATTAACCCACAGCACCATACCAGAACTCGATAGACAGGGTCAATATGAGTCACATCCAATTCCAGCACTTAGCAGCAACAGCAACATGTATTTATAACTTAATCCCCAAACTATGAGAGAGCTATGACAGTCATAAAATCAAGACTTAAAATAAGTTGGATGGCCTAGAGAGAGCTTGAACTGAAAGATTAAATTAATTGTCAAGAATGTAAAGCTCTAAATTGAGGGTTCCTAAATGGAGCAAATGATTTGCATTCGACTGCCAGTCTAAAAGCTGAGTTTAAACCCAGCTAGCCGTACCATGAAAGAAGCACCCTGGTGATCCACTTACATTAAGATTGAAGTCAACATGTGGCACAATAGTGAATAATTGCTCTCAGGACTGACTGTGAGGGTTGGAAATGTAAAGGTGGACGTTTTGTGGCAAAAGGAGGGGAGTGATTGACTTTGCAGTCCAGGAGCAGAGGTCCCTGGGACCATCAAGGGAGAAGAGTGGAATGTGGAACCCTACCCAAAGAAACAGTGACACCAGAGATGGAGGCAGAGATGATGACAGGAGAGATGGAGCTGCTGGGGACTCTAGACCCAGAGAGGGAGAGGGGCAGTGTGCTGACTACCAGGGGGCAGGCTTGCAGGTTATACCCTTTGGTTGGTTGATGATGCATGGAGGGGATTGCAACCATGGCAATGAAACAATATACGATAGGATGAATGTAAAGCTAATGTTCTCCCATGTAAACTATCACATAATTCACAATAAAATGTTTAAAAAACAAGAACAAACAAACAAAAAGATTACAGTCAACAAAACCCTATGGAGCAGTTCTTCTCTGTAACCCACGGGGTTACCCTGAGTTGGAATCAACTTGAGGACAGCCACTAGCAACATGTTTAAGTATGGAGGGGAAAAAAATTAACACAAGTGCAGGATAAGGAAGAGATGACAGAGAAGTAGATCATGAGATCATGGTCTGAGACTGAGCTGACCAGCCATTCAAGCTGAAGCAGTGCTGTCATTTAGCTGCTGACAAAAAAGCTAGTGCAACTTAGAGTATTATTAACATTAGAATAATGGTGATATAGTGAGGAACATGAGTTTTACACATTTGAGGAGTACAACAGAATTGTAGAATCCCAGCCCCATCAGATCTTATCATTGGGGTTGTTTTCAATTTGGGGGGCCTTGTCTAGTAGGAGTGTGTGACAAACTGAAGTGTACACAGGAGGGTAGCCAGGATAGGCAACCGTCTGAAAGCCAAGTCCCACAGCAGGTTGAGAGGTGTGGGCATCCAGCCCAAAGTAGGTACCACTGAGATATGGTAAGAGGGAAGAAAAATTAAGATTAAGGCTCTGACCCCTGCCATCACGTCTTTATATTTCTGTTTATCATCTGTATGTCTTTGGGCAAGTTACTCAACTTCCTCTGTGCCTCAGTTTCACCAAATGTGAAGAGGGAATATTAGTCCTATCTCATAGGATTATTATGAATAGAGTCAATAATGGTATAAAAGTTTTATCTGGCAGAGAGAAGCAGTGACGTTAGAGATGGAGGCAGAGATGGGGAGAAAGAGATGGAGCGGCTGGGGGCTCTGTACTCAGGGAGGGAGAGGGGCTGTGTGCTAACGACACAGGGACAGGCTTGTGGGGTGTGCCCTTTTGTTGTTTGATGATGCAGGGAGGGGATTGTAATCATGGCAATGAAATTATATACAATAGCATGAATGAAAAGCTAATGTTCTCCCATGTAAACTATCACATAATTCACAATAAAAACTTTAAAAAACAAAAAAGTTTATCTGGCAGATGGAAAATACTTAATACAAAAACACAGTGAGGATGGTGAAGAGGATGAGGATGACTATATTTCATATCCTCCCCGTGACCCTGTGGAGGAGGAAGGACAATGATTCAGAAGGGAAAGTTAAGACCAGGAGGAAGAAAGAATCTGGTTCTATAAAGAGCTCTTTCAAATAACCAGAACATGTGACGATACCATCCATTTTGAGCTTTAAAGAAATAAGGAGGGGAACCAATAATAAAGGTAACAAGTTCCATCGTTCTCACCCTTCTGTTGGCAAATCTTTGATGGGTTACTCGTTGGGCAACTAACTTGCAAGGTCAGTGCTTCAAACCGTCCCGCTGCTCTGTGGGAGGAAGTTGAGTCTATCAGCTCCCATAAAGATTTGCAGTCTCAGAAACCCTAAGGAGCCATTCTATTCGATCCCACAGGGTCAGTTGGAGTTGAAATTGACTCGATAGTGGTGGGTAAGTGGATAAGGTAAACTTTGAGGACAGTAGATTTTGTTTGTATGCCTTTGGTCTTCTCGGCTTCATAATGAGTGAGAAAGCACATAGGCTTTGTAGTTGTCTTAGTTCTTTGTGCTGCTATGGCAGAAATACCACAAGTGGATGGCTTTAATGAACAGAAATATATTTTCTCACAGTTAGGAGCTAGGAGTCCAAATTCCAGGCACTGGCTTTAAGGAAAGGCTCTCTGTCTCTGCTGGCTCAAGAGGAAGATCCTATCTCCTGTCAGCTTCTGTTCCTAGGTTCTTTGAGGATCGATCATCATATGGCCTGGCATCTACCTTTCCCCATTTGTGTTTTCTTATTATGTGCTGAGCTACTTTTATCTCAAAAGTGATTGGTTTAAAACACACCCTGCAATACTTTGGCCCTATTAACATAACAAATGGGATTGCATCCATAGATATGTCATTAGGTGCTACTGACTCAGTTCTAACTCATAACAACCTTATACACAACAGAATGAAACACTGCCCAGTCCTGCGCCAACCTCATAATCATTGTTACACTGGAGCCCACAGATACAGGATTTAGGATTTACAACACATATTTTGAGAGACACAATTCAATCAATAACAGTAGTCAAATTCCCCAAATGTGAATCTTTGCTCTGTTTTTTAACAATTAGTTGATCTTAGCTTAGCTGAACTTAGTTCACCTCTCTCAGTCCATTTTTCTTTTGTAAAATGAAATAAACTACTTACAGTCCTGAGGAATGTGGACCAGATCTAATATATTTCATGCATATTGGTTAGCATCATGCCAAAGTAGACTAACTTTATAGATAACGTGAGACTAGCAAATTTGAGCCTTTGGGCCTTTTGAATCTCAAGGGGGATGAGGATGTTGGAGTTTGGATGAAAAAACTACTACATCAGCAAGCACATATGCCAAAATTGCACTTATGATACAGATATGGGAGACAGGAAAAATTTGAAAGGCTTTCATATCCTAAAGTCTTGTACTTCTCACAGGAAGGATAAAATAAGAGGAAGGAAAATGGAAATGGAAAATGTATCATTTGTTGAGAATTTACTACATTTTAGTTTCTAGCCTCAGAGTCCCACCAAATTTTCATAATGGTTAGGAAGGGGCAGAATTGATAAGGTTGGATGGGAGTTTTACAATTGCCTTGTACTCTAAAACACTTGACCCTAAAATACTTCTGGACATATTGTGATTCCCTTGTGCTGCTGTTCCCAGTGCTGACCAGAACTAGATCTTGACATCACTCTACCTTTGTCAAAGCATTAAGCCTGAGCAACTTTGCCTAAGATTCTGCTACTGGTGGATGCAGGGCTGTAATTGAGTGTGTGTGTGTGGGGGGGAAGATACGGGAGGGCATCATACCCCTTATGAGAGCACTCCACCACACACTTATGAATTGGCACCTTGAACTGGGGTAGACCAAGGACACTAACAGATAGCCTTTTCTTTCCTGCCTCCCAGTGTGACGGGGTTGGAGTGGACCTAAGCAATATCTTCCTTGAAGGCATTGCCATTCTCAACATCCCCAGCATGTATGGAGGTACCAATCTCTGGGGAGAAACCAAGAAGAACCGAGCTGTGATCTGGGAAAGCAGGAAGGTCGTCACTGACCCCAAGGAACTGAAATTCTGTGTCCAAGGTAAGCCAGGCACTAAGGGTCACTGTTTTAGGTCAGTGGGAGGCGAATTCAGGTGGGGCTGTGAGCAAACTGTGTAAGAACCTATAACAGGTTCCATAAGACAGCACAGAACAATTGGGACCCAGGCTCTGGAGAAATGCTGATTCATCATCCGTGATGTTGTAAGTTTACACCCTAAGAAAACAAAATGATCAAAAAGGGAACCCTGGTAGCATAGTGGGTTACCTGTTGGGCTTTTAACCACAGGGTCAGGAGTTCAAATCTCCCTGTCACCTCATGGGAGAAAGATGAGGCTTTCTGCTCCTGTAAAGATTTACAGCTTCGGAAACCCTACGCAGGGCCGCTATGAGTTGGAACCGACTCGATGGCATGCAACAATCACAAATGAAAGTCGGAAGTCAAATTCTGGGATTCCATGAGTTTAAGAGTCAAATGCTGCTCCTGTCATGGATACAAGTATCTTGCAAGTAACCAAATCGAACAGCCATTTGTCCACCTTCATCCCGATTCACCTATCAACGCCCTCTTCCTGGAAACACATTGCCCACTTGACTTCTAGAATCCACATTTTCTAGGTTTTCCTCCTCCCACTGACCAAACATTCTTAGTCTCTTTTGCCAGTTCTTCTTCTTCTCTTTGACTTCTTTATGCTAGAGCAGAGGTGGAGAACCTTTTTACTGACAAAATTTTTAATGTCATTCATAGGCCATACAAAATTATCAACTAAAAATTAGCCTGTTAGATTTGGTCAAAGATATAATTAACTCACCCATATGATGTGCTGTGGGATAATGCACTGGACTGCAAGGTCGGCAGTTAAATTCACCAGTTGTTCCTCAGAAACCCTACAACAGGGTCGCTATGATTTGAAACCGACTAGATAGCATTTAACAACAGTATGATGGTTGAAACTGTGGTTGGCTTGGCAGGCCCAGACCAAATGATTTCCTAGGTCTTATAGGGAGTCCTGGAGTCCTGGAGTCCTGGTGTGGTGCTGTAGGTTAATGCACTGGACAGCAAAGTTGGTTTGAACTGCAATGTCAGCAGTTCAAGCTCACCAGTCGCTCCTTGGAAGCCCTATACAAGGTTGCTATGGGTCGGAATTGATTCAACAGCACTTAACAACAACAACATAAGGAGTTCTGGTGTGGGTAGCACTGTGGGATAAAGCACTGGACTATAAAGTCGGTTTGAACCACAAGGTCAGCAGTCAAACTCACCAGCCTCTCATTGAAAACCCTATACACGGTTACTATGAGTTGGAACTACTCGATGGCACGTAATAACAACATGGGGCCCACAGACTGGATGTCCACTCTGTGCTAGAGGGTCCACAGGATCACTGTCCTTCTTTTTTCTGTTTGTATTCCAGTTATAAGGTTTTATTTAAATACCTCATGGTGCCAATGGTGCCTAAAAGCATGTCTCCAGCCTCTTCTGTTCTCCAGGCTCATGTGTTCAACAGCCTGTGTACCGTTTCCCCTTGCATGAGGGGGTTTCCAAAGTTCGTGAAAAAATTTCCTTTTCTTTTAATTTTATTTTCCCATGAAGTTTTTGAAGTCTCTTTTACATTTAACATCTCAAGCTCAGCATGGCCAAACTGACCTCCTGGCATCCCTTCCTCATGGAATCCTTCTAACTATGTCCTCCACACACCTCCTTCTTCATCTCAGTTGATGACAACTTCAACCTTCCAATTGCTTGAGCCAAAACACTTGGCACCATCCTTGATTCCTCTTTGTAATCTCACATGTCACATCAACCCATCGGAAAATCTATTGGCTCAACGTTAAAAAAAAACAACAAAAAACTTTAAACAGAAAGAATCATCCAGAATCCAACTGCTTCTCACCGTTTGCATTCTTACCCGCTATCACCTGTGCCCTGGGTGACTGAAAATCTTCCTAGTTGGATCCCCTACTTCTACCCCTTCCCTATACAACCTATTTTCACAACCATATTCAGAGTACATCTATGAGAACACGTTATGGCATTCCTCTGCTCAAAAGCCTGCAGAGGCTCAGAGTGAAAACTAAAGATCTGATGTGACCTTACAGAGCCCTGTGTGGCCTGGCCTCATCTACCTCTGAGACCTCATCTACTGCTCTCTCTCCCAGACATGCTGCCCCCACCAGTCTGACTCCTTAGACACAGCAGGCTACTTCCATGAACAGACTATTCCCTCTGTATGGGTAGTGAGTCTTAAGAGACCATCAACTAGATCTTCTTTTAGCTTATCAGGATTCAGAATATAGCTTTCTGAAAGTGCCCTTAAAACCCCTTTCCAGACATTTCCACTAATGAATCAATGGGGACTCAAATCTCCTGGCAACTCTGATTCCTCTGTTGAGTTGGATGAGTGGGCCCTGTTGCTCCTCACAGATCTCAAATAGGACTAGTGAGCTGCGGGAGAGAAGCCTTGTGTGAAGGCATTGGCAAAGGAACCACACTTAAAGGCAGAAGACCTGGATTCTCATCCAAGTGCTGCCACCAAACCTACTTCTCGGAATCGTAGTCTTCTTTGGTGTAATACTAGCATTTGATATGTAAGTTTTAATAACTGGTTGCATCGGCTGGGCTAGATCATTGGTTCTAGACTGGACCTGCTTGGTGAAAATGCAGGTTCCTGGGCCAAGTACAGATCTACCTAATCACTTTCTGAACTTTTAATGATCTCCCTAGATGACCTTGATTGCTGCCAGGTTTGAGAATCACCGATGTGGACAGATATCCAAAGTCTCTTTCAGGTCTCGCATTCTATAACTCTGTGTCTGTGTTCTTTGATATCCCAGCCTGTTAGCAATAAAACTGGACATAATCCCACCAGTGAATAGTTGGCTGACTATCAAATGGTTGTTTCAGATCCAGTTGTTAGACTAGATAGTTGTCATATTCCAGGACAAGGCCATCAAGAAGCCATTTCCAAACCTCTATCCTTTAAGGGAGGACTCAGGATTCTTTTTTTTTTTAAGGAGTCCCTGGTAGTGCAAATAGTTAAGCACTTGACTACAGTCAAAACGTTGGCTGTTCAAACCCACTACTTGAGGCACTTCAGACGCTAGGTCTGACAATCTGCTTCCCAAAGGTCACGCACAGTCTTCGGAAGGCTAGGGAGCCATTCTACTCTGCACAGATGGGACTGCCAGATGGAATGGTCTCTAGCAATTCACAACAGCAACATAGGTTTTATTTCTCTATTACCTTCTAAAATCCCCATCACGTCATACAGTAAACTTCTCAGTTTACATAAATTATTAAACTGACTAATGTGTTCCTCCTGCCTCCCTTGGCAGAGAAGTTATAGATAGAATTGTAGGTGCTAGAAGCCAATAGGGGAAACACTGAAGCTTGTAGAAAGTTTCTGCAAATTTGCTCACCCTGGTGTACCTACCCAAGCCCCCATTCTAAACTCTAGCCCAGTGAAAACAGAAAAGAAATCAACAAAGTCCTCCTCTTCCTCCTCCTCCTCTTTCCCTCCACATCCTCCCAAGGCTTGGAAAAGCTCTTGCTGAGGTCATATTCTGGTTAGGGCTCAAAGACAATCTTCCTCTTCCTCTTCCATATATTTTCCCCTTCTTCAAGCAAGAAGGAGTGGCCCAGAGTAAAGTGTCTGCTGATTGCTCTTGACCATCATGTACAGGAATCCTCTTCCCCAAATTCCCTCTTTCCCACCCTCAGAATGTGCTTTCATAGCTAAAAATGAAGCTACTTCCTGTTTTTAGATGAGGACAGGAACCAATCAGAGGGGAGACTGAGGAAGGCGCCTGGCTTCTGGGCTTTGCACACATACCAACACTGAGCTTGCTTTTTGAAAAGGCCATGGTCTCATGTCAGTTGAGCTTTGAATGGGAAAAGCTAAAGGGGAAACTTATTTTTGTGGAAAGCATTGCTCTGGAAGTCAGAACACCTGGATTCCAATCCAAAGTCTGTTTCTCACCAGTTATGTGACTTTGGGCAAGTCATCTTCTTAGGTCTTAGTTTTCCTTATATGTAAAATAGGTAGTCTGACAATCATATTTTGAGTTTTTGTTTTTGTTTTCCCCTAGTTTTACAAAATGAAGGTTTGAATGGTATGGATGCCTTCTTGAATAGAGTAGAATGGCAGCTGGCTTCTTTTTTCTGCGTGTTTTGTGCCAGGATTTATAGGCTGGTGACTGAGAAAGCAAGCTAATTCCAACTCATGGAAATCCCACATGTGTCAGAGTCGAATTTGGTTTCATAGAGTTTTCAGTGGCTGGTTTTTTGGAAGTAGATCTCCAGGCCTTTCTTCCAAGGCACTTCTGGGTGGACTTCAACTTCCAACCTTTCAGTCAGACGCATCACTAACTGACCCTGTATGTAATGTGACAGTTACACCTGAACTAGCTGTCCGGTGAAACATGGTGAGAGGTAAAGAATCTCAAGGCTTGGATGCAGATAAAGTACCAAGGACCTGCCACAAAGTCAGGACAGTTCTCATGAGGTTGTGGAGCAAAACTCTAGAAAGCTCTGCCATTGCGTCACTCTGACTCCAGCCCTAGATACAAACGTATGGACTTCCGACACAGTTCTCAAACCGTACGCTGAGCCTCACACCTGTCCCAACCCAGCTTTTCTGAATTGCTCTGGCCTGACATTTGTCCCTGTTAATTTTTACCTATACCTGGCCCCTCTGGCTTTCTGGTATTAGAGTCATTTCTAGGAGTCCCTGAGTGGTGCAAGCAGTTCACACATTCACTTGACAGCTAACTGAAAGGTTGGAAGTTCAGGTCCACCCAGAGATGCCTCAAAAGAAAGACCTGGAGATGTAGCTGTAAAAACATCAGTCACTGAAAACTCTTTAGAGCGCAGTCCTACTGTGACACATGTGAGGTTACCATGAATCAGAATTGATTTGCCAACAACTGGTTAGACAAGACTCTTAAGTAGATAGGGAAAAATCTCCCCAGACTTTCACTAGGTGATAATTTTTCCTCTTCTTATTAAACAAGAAAGGGATACCTTTAGCAGAGGGCATACGT